ATAAATAATAACTGTGGTTTATGTGATAATAATAATAGTAGTAGTAGTTGTTGTAGTAGTAGCAGCAGTGGTTTTAGTAGTAGTAGTAGTAGTAGTAGTAGTAGTAGTAGTAGTAGCAGTAGTAGTTGTAGTTATAGTAGTGGTAGTAATAGTAATAGTAGTAGTAGTAGTAGTAATAATAATAATAATAGTAGTAGTAGTAGTAGTAGTAGTAGTAGTAGTAGTAGTAGTAGTAGAGATAAATAATACGAATAAACCAAAAATTATAGATAATCGATCAAAAAAAAGATCACGAATAGAATTTAAGAACCAACCGTTTTCCCGCGCAAACATTCTTTCAATTCGAGGACACTTTTCCTCGAACGTCTGCATAAAAATGGCTGCCAGGTCATTTCCCGCCAAGAGCACGTTGATTGGTTGTCGCAGCTGATACAGGGAACCAACCAGCTTGCTTTATTTTATTATTATTATTATTATTATAACACTATTGCTATAGTTAGTGTTATTGCTGAAAAGAACAATAACAACCTTCGTATAATTTCCCGGCAAGGCACCCTGGAAGCCGACCAACAGCATCAACGTAATGGGACCAGTTTTTATATTCCGACCTGTAGAGACCACACCTCGCTGCTGGCTCGTATATGAGTCCACAGTCCTTGTTAATTATAGTTATAATTAATAATAATATTATTAAGTTATACTTATTTACTTTTATTTTCTTGCTCCGATTTTTTCTTTCTGTCTCCTCTCTCTCTCTCTCTCTCTCTCTCTCTCTCTCTCTCTCTCTCTCACTGCCTGTCTTTCTGTCAGTCTGTTTCTCTCTCTTTCTGTTTCTCTCTCTCTTTCTCTCTCTGTCTCTATTTCTATCGACATGTTTCTTATATCTTCCTTAATGCATCCCAAACAAGCTGTTTCTCGTCATTGTCTTCATTCGTTTTTTCTTCCTTTTTAAACTTTCTCTCTACCTCCCTCCAACTTTTCTCATCTCATTCTTCTCTTTTTGGATTTTGTTCTCTCTATCTCTCTCTTTCTTTCTTTTTCTTTTTCTCTTTCTCTCTCTCTCTCTCTCTCTCTCTCTCTCTCTCTCTCTCTCTCTCTCTCTCTTTCTCTCTTGTCTTGTTCTCATACACTCTCTCTATCTATAATCAAATTAACGATAACAATGTCGATAATGATTAAAATAATGTAGACAAAAGCGATGACGTAGCTGTAATAAAAATAATAATAATATAATAACAATATAATAATAATATGATATAATAATATAATAATAACAGTAATAATAATTATGATAATAATAATATAATAATCATAATAATAATAATATTTTGAAAAAAATTAGAGTCTAAATTTTCATTAACCAGACAGGTACATATGTAAGAGCATAAAACCCTACATACAATACATGTAAATGACTTAATCTTATCACTACATACAAACACACACACACACACACACACGCATACATACATGCATACATACATGCATGCATACATACATACATACATACATACATGTATATACATACATACATACATACATACATAC